CAGCGCACAAATAAGCACACTCACGCACTCACTCACTCACACGCGGCATTCTCACAGTGTATAAGATAGCTTGGAAAGCTCCGTCACTGCTGGAGCTCGCGGAGATCCTCCTCCCCGCACATCTTTACATGAGGGTTATATAGGGATTCTGATCCTTCAAAGCGAAATTTCTGTGCGCTCTTCAGAAAAGCGTCGAGAAGCAGCATTCACTGCGCCTGAATGCGTTGTCACAGGAAATCCAGAGAGCGGGAGGGAGGGGAGCCGGGTCTGTTAGAGCGGCAGGAAGCGGCAAACAATGGCTAGCAGAGAGGATTATGGGAAAGTGCCGAGAGAAGGTTAGTGCAAAGGTAAATGTGAGCGGAATGTAGGAACGATGGCCTTACGCTGTCCCATTGTCAGCCATTAGGTGGTGGATTGCTATCGAGAATCGGGGCGTGTAGGGCACACGGAGCAACTAACATGGATGTTGAAGCTGGTCACAGACATGTCTGGGACCGATTGATTGGTGGCAGGAAGAGAGAACAATCCTATCACTGCGCACACGTCAAGCACGGCACCTAGTGAAGAGGACAAGTCACAGCTTTATCCGTCACTTGGCAATCATTTCAAAGCCAGGCAGATCTCACGACCTCCAACCCACAAGCAGGTAGTGCACGGGTACAATAAACCCGTCATGGTAAAAACACGGGTCTGTCATTGCTGACCTCCTTCTGCACGGGTACAATAAACCCGTCATGGTTATAACACGGGTCTTTCATTGCTGACCTCCTTCTCCACATGCTGGATACCTGGTAACCGACCTTGTTTCAGTACATCTGTGTTTCTGACTTGGAGCAAGTATCCAGACCAAGAAAGAGAGAAATAAGTCAGAAGTCCTTATCCGCATGCTTGTTGCAGGTCACAGACCCCGAGTATAAGAGGATCGCCATGATGGTCAAGCATGTAGCATTTTCAGAGAGAGAAGAAATGACAAAGGCAGCTTCCTTGTTACTCTCATACACAGGGAAGATATAAATTCATCCCACTCGCATGGAAGTCTTGTCTTAGTCATTTCCATATAAGAATCAGATGAGGGCTGTGTGATCTCTAACCCCTTATCTGAAAACACTTGTGTGCAATGGTTTGCTATGGGAGATGGCGTGAGACACACACATCCAATGTAGAACTACTCCTCACACCCAGGCTAGCTTAAAAAAACTGAATTCAGATATTGACCCAGGGATGGAATTTAATAGGTCGAGGGTGGTAAATCCCAAAAACATTACTTGGAAGTGGAGATCTCACTGGGGGCACGGCAAAATCTGCTTCAGGGCAAAGTGACAGGTTGTCTTATAGCTCCCCCACCCCCCAATGCACATTGAAGAAGATTACATAGGATACATGAGCTTCTCCCCTCCCTAGTGTTCAAGCCGTGTAATTGGCCTGTATCCTGTAAGGTAGGGTTGAAAACCTGTCTTTTTTCCCCACAATTCATTACTCATCATGGAGTCATCTCTTATCTCTCTGGAGTACATGTTTGGACCCTGCATACCACATATGAGCTCAGGTGACTGTGAGTTCTGGTTAATACACCCATGTGTACATTGCTAAGTGATGGCCCACGCAGCTGACCCGAAACGCGATAGCACAGGACAGTAAAGACCTGAGGAAAGCTCAGTCCTGGAATGACCTACATGAGTTCTATAATGTTACAAGATAAACAGGCTGCTCTATGTCAGGCGTGATGAGCGCGGCAGAGAATTGGAGAGTGGATAAGAGATTGAGAGTCCCCCAGACCATCCACGCTCCGCTCCCTCTTGTCATTTCAGAGTCAGCTCGGTCGGAGCGTCTCCCACATTATTGCTTTTCTCGGAAGGTGTAGCACCTTCTCTCGTAATTTCTGAGAAACAAAAGACTGCAGATGACAAGGTAACTTCACCTGGCCTCAGAGACCCTCTGAACCTCACAAAGTGCTTCTTTCTCCTCCTCAGTCCCCTAAAGTTCTATTCTTCATCACATTCCTCTACAGAAGAGTCCTTGGAAAGTGTCTTTTCGGTATAATCACATTTTGCATTTGGCATTCCACCTGCCACTTTTGGTCCCACTTATAAAAGGGAAAAGCAATTCTGCAGGTAACGCAAAATATAAATCCAGTCACACCCTCAGCACAGAGCCACCTTCTGTTCACAAGGCTGAAGGAGCACATCCTGTGAAGTGTTACCTGTGCAAGAGGTCCACGGGAATCACATGGCTGGGAATGTAACCAGGTTCGGAAACCTTAGGCAAGTCATGTGACTAGGCTGAGTGGGCACAGGTGTCAAGTTGCAGCGGGCTTAGTTGACCACCGCCGGTTTCAGTAACACGGAACCGGGAGGGATGACCACCCACCCTGGCAGTAGAGAATCTGAGCCCATACCAGGAGAAAGATCTAAAACTCCACCAGGCAGGAGGGAGAGGCCATCTACTGAATTCAGCCTCAGCTTTGACCCTTCAGTCCTCTCAACGCCCTCTGAATTTTGGCCTTTAGACCTCTTCTCGTTTTCGGATTTCCCTGATGCTACCAAGGAGACCAAAGGTAGGCCGAGACCAGCGGCTGCGTAAGCTTGAGACAGCAGTGAACCTTTGGCCAGGTTCAGAGGAGCCCCTGCCAGTGTCAACATGGGATTTGGTAACCCTGCCAGAGCTGAGGCGACCCCGTTACAAGCCAGGGAGCTGAGGTCCAAAGGTCCTGGCGTCAGTGGGATTGGCAGTGTCTGGCTTCCGAAGATGGCCGCTGGGTTGGGAATGATGAGTTGGGTACCACTTGCATAGCCGCTGTCTCCCATCGTTGGCATTTTGGGTGTCTGGTGGATTTTCAGTAACTGGCGCTGTTGGTGTGAGATGAAGTGCCCGTGAGCCTTGATGTGCTTCCTCAGGGAGCTGGGGTCTGTGTAGCGTTTCTGGCATCCAGGCATCTTGCAGTAGTAGGGCTTGTCCACGTAGTGTGTGCGCGTATGCTTGAAGCGGTCGCTGGAGTTGGAGTAGCGCTTGTTGCAGCCCTCATAGGGACACATGTAGGGTTTTTCTCCTGCGGATGAGAATACATTGGATCTGAGTATTTATCTGTCACAAAGTGAGAATAAGAAATGACTTTTACAACCTGATTTTAAAGCATCGTTGCTTCTATAATTGAAGCCGCCGCATCGTCAGGATAATGCAACAGAAGAGGTATTATACTTAAAGTGACATTAAACCCTCAGATTTTTTAACCTAAAACAATACTGTAATGTGCGCCTTACTGTAATCTATGGTTGTTTCCCTTCCATTTGCTGCTCTTCCTTTTAAATCTGTATCTCTTCTCATGCTCTGCAGAAGTTCTGTTTTGCAGCAGACTGCCTTGTCTCTGGAATGGATACATGGTGTCTGTGTGAAGGTTCACAACCTGAGCCAGCACTACAGGAAGAGGCCCTGAGCTGAAAAGGGAAGTTCTCCCAGAGCATGAGAAGACATGAGGATTTAAAAGGAAGAGCAGCAAAGAGAAGGGAAACAACCATGGATTACAGTAAGGCGCACATTACAGTATTGGTTTATGTTAAAAAATCTGAGAGTTTAATGTCACTTTAACTGTCCGACGGGCTGTGTCTACTACCTTCCCTCCCTCCTAGTGCACCAGCTCGGTCAGTCTCATCGGCATTCAACACTTCCAGGAGAGTCGAATGCCTGCTTCCCCCGCCATGCACCGTGGCTCCATCCTCCGACGCCGTAGTCACTACATGACTCAGAACTATGCTATCAATATACATCAACCAAACAGTATAAGGCTGGGCACACACCTTACGGGCTTCCGATGACCGCAATGAGGAACGGGCAGTGTGCGCTTGCGGCTTTTATCGTACGAACATGCAACAAACCCGCCGAACGTCGTACGATGCTCGGCGGGTTTTCGAACATGTCCGTAAGTTGAAAGTTGTGCGACCGTACAGTAGCAGAAGTCGCACGGCTTCCACACACCTTACGATAATCGTACGATGGTGGGATTTCCCACGATTATCGTACAATTATCGTAAGGTGTGTGGGGACCTTTATACACATGCTCAGGATCTGTAAAATATCATATCCACTCACTTCTGTACGGCTAGACAGCAAAATGAGACCATGCTTTTCACAGCCTACAGCCCATTTTTACTTGTTACTGCTTGTTATTCCATGCAGAAACCCAGTGTCATTGTAACGTCCTGTGCAATGAACTCATATCTAAAACTAGGAATGCACCAATGCCGGTTTTTCTGTATCATGTACGAGTATCGATATTTATATTTCGGTACTCGCCGATACAGAGTACTGATACCGGTGCTTCCGGTAGCATAGAGCTGGCTTCCCGGGCAATCAGGGAGCCAGGCGGCGTGTCATTACCCACCGCCCGGCTTCTTGATTGCCCGGGAAGCCGACTCCATTCAGTTTGGCCGGCTCGATGCTGATTGGCTGGGAAGCCGGTTTCCCAGCCAATCAGTATCAAGGCCGGCCAAACAGATGTGATAATATGGTGACACAACCGCCACCCTGCAAACCCAAACACTCTAGCGACACGTGGACATATTTTTTTGGGAGAATGAGTTGTGGCTTATTCATATGTAAAAGGAAACACCCACTAATATGTAAATATCACAGTTGAGACTATTTTTAGTGGGGGGCCAGTAGCCCCTATCTTAATTTTGGTTGCCTCTGTCTATCTGACATCTTGTGTCCGGGTTCCTTGTGCCATGAAACCTGGACACGGCATTCAAAACCCGAACTGTCCGGGTGAATCCTGGACAGGTGGCAACCCTACTCGGCCAGCTGGGCAGACACCTCTCTCCAAGCTCTCCGGGATCTGCCCACGTCTCCTGTGTGTACAGCGCCCACGTGATCGGGCCTCAGCCTGCTACTGCACATGCGCAGACTGCCCAGTGCTCTCATTCAGAAATCCTCTAACAGCATCAAGCAGGCGGTGCTGGTGCTGTACACACAGGAGACGTGGGCAGATCTTGGAGAGAGTTGTCTGCCCAGCTGGCCGAGGGACTGGAACGGTAATAACTGCTGCTGAGGATCTATGTGAGGGGAATGAGGTGCCTGCAGGGTGGGGGTCGTGTCACCATATTATCAGCTTTGTTTGTCCGGCTCGATGCTGATTGGCTTGGAAGCTTCCCGGCCAATCAGCATCGAGCCAGCCAAACAGCATGGAGCCAGCTTCCCGACTCCATGTTCCCTCGCAGCACTGCCGGTCAGAGGAAATCTCCCTCTGACCGGAAGTTCCAGTATCGGGAAAGGTACGAGAGTATTTGGGTGAATACGAGTACTCACCCAAATACTCGGTATCGGCACTAATACTAGTACTGGTATCGGTGCATCCCTATCTAAAACTATGTGAACAGCTTTCCCAGCTATTTTCTGTGAAGTACAGAAGACCTCTTTCCTATATAATAGAGATGAGGAAAGGAGGAGGTTATTGTAGTCCAAATAAAGAGAGCAGCCTAGGATGACAACGCAGCTCTTCCATAGATTTCAGGGATGCACAGATACCAAGTACAGTACTCGGTACAAGTACGAGTACAAGTACTGATACTGTTCGAGCTCCTAGACTAGACTAGAGAAAAATTCAAAAATTAGGAGGCCGCTGTCATTTGTAAGGAGCACACGGAGCTCCTGGGATTTGTACATCTCTGTTTTAATGTACGATTTTTATAAATAAAGTGATGCACAGATACCAGTTTTGCGAGTACGAGTACTGGTACTTGCCCAAGTACTCACATATACAAGTACTGATAGATTTTTGTTTATTGTCATGTGACAGTTTTTCTAAAACAATACAGACTAATGATTTCAGGACAGTGGTGGAGGGCCAGAGCCAGGTACCAGCTACAACCGCTGCCACCCTGGTAGTTCTCGTGAAAATGCCAAGTATCGGCACTGGTACTCGAAAAGTATCTGTGCATCCCGTATAGATACAATGCAATGAGTTATTATCGTTACTCTGGGAAAGAAAATGTGTTACTGGCAGAATCACTGGGTGAAAATAAAGAAAAGAAAAGCCCAGAAAAACCGAATGCAGCCACCACATCCATGGACTGATCAGATGCAATACGGTATTTTTTTGCTTTTTGGATTAGACACTTTTTTAAAGCAAAGCAATCATCAAAAAGTCTAGCCCGGGGGTGTGGATGGTGATAGCCTAGACTGGATGTATGCCCTAAGAGCTCCGGCACCCAGCCAGACTTCAGCCTTCAGAGAACCTTCAATATATTGCCCCAAAGTGACCTGATGGGTCACAACACTAAGCGGAGATCACACTCACAGAAATCCAGGAACTTCTTTCTACAGGACATGGAGGAGGCCCTGTTTCCCATTCTGAGACTGTGCATAAACAGGACATGGCAGAACTGCGTGAGAGCCTCCAATCATATCCTGTTTACACAATGTTACTCCCACCGCCACCAATAACTTGCTCACCTCTTTTCTTCCTCATCCATGCCAACCTTGTTTACCTCCTAATTCTCTGTAAGCTATTCCTATTCTTATTCATTCTTACTGTTATTTCTAAAGGTGCCCATACACTGCTCGATTCTCGTACGAGAATCGCGGGAAATCCCGCGATCGTACGAGAATCGAGCAGTGTGAACGGAGACGTGCGACCGTTTCTACTGTACGGTCGCACGTCTTCCGTCGAACCAGCATGTTCGAAAACCAGCCGGGAATTGTACAATTCTCGGCTGGTTAGAACGGTGCTCGGAAGACAAATGCCGAACGGGCCGGTGTGCGCACGCGCACACTGCCCATTCAGCATTGCGGTCATCGGAAGCCCGCCCCTCAGGGGAGCGGGCTTGCGATGATCGAGAGTGCGATCTGCCTGTCCAAGATAGGCAGATCGTACGTTTTTCTAATCCCTGTACAACCATTGCAAGACTAAGGTCTTGCGATGGTTGTAGAGTGTATGGCCACCTTAAGGCTGCCCTGGGCAGTTACTGTCCATGCTCCCCCAATAGGTAGTTCTCCCTCAATGTGACTTTTGGCATTTCGGGATAGCTCATTGGGACATTTCACTTTTCAGAACTCTGTTCTAAAAAATTCCCACCACAGCTCTTCTTTTCTTTTCTTTCTTCCAGATTCCCACTGGTTCCCTTCCCTCTTCCTCTCTTGAGTCCCTCCCCCTGGGGTAAGCCTGGCCAGTGGAGGTCCACCTCTCTCATCCTTCTTGTTTTACTTTATTGCCATGGCATCCGTAATCATCGCCATTTTAAATATTAAAGAGTTCAAAAATCTTAAAATCCCAAAAAAATAATCCTAAAAAGTGGTCTCAGGTACTGCACCACATGGGTAAACAGTAGAGGTGCACCGAAATTGAAATTTAAAAACCGAAACGAAACCGAAATAATATTTTCAAATGTTTTAAATATTTTATTTTGATTTATTTTTTATAAACGTTTACATATTTTTTTGTATTTATTAATTCATTTTTTATTAAATATTGTAATTTTTTACTTTAATTTTAGAGGCTTTGGGGAAATGTTAGGGATCTAAACAGACCCCCTGATATTTCTCTTTTAAAATAGAAAAAGAGATTGAGGACACAGAGTCCTCAATCTCTTTTTCTGCAGCTCCTGTTATCAATGAACAGGAATCCTCTATACTGAGTGTTCCCGTTCATTCATAACATGAGGACAGAGTATGGTTACTATAACCACAATCATGAATGAACAGGAGGTGATGTAGATCACTTCCCATTCATTCATAATTGAGGATATAGTAACCATACTCTGTCCTCAATTATTTACAAACACTCAGCAATCACTGATCATTGACTGTTTGTACCCAATCTCCTTCCTGGCAGCTGTCACAGGAGGCTGAGCGAGCGGTGCAAGGAGGAGAGGTCAGCCTCCTATGACAGCGCTGGCTGTCTCCGCCCCCACACCGCTCAGCCAGACTGTGATATTTGCAAAACAGGACATGTCACGACTGTTCCTTGTCCCCATACCTTTACATACTTGCCATGTAACATCTAACCATAGTGATTCACAACAACCCATCTATTCAGGGGGTTCCTGTGAGTGACCGGCCACAATATACTCATGAAACAGAAACAAGAAGGTGGAATGGGTTTACCTCGTCTGGAACTTTACTATGAAGCATCGCTGCTTACCAGATTGACAGATGGATTTATCGCCCTTCACAAACAATGGGTCTAGATCAAATCGTTCTTTTCACCCATTCTCCCTACCTCTTTACATTGGACACATCCCTCACTCTGTTATAAATCTGATCATTATATCAATTAGAGACAGAGAGGCAATAAGCAGGATTCATACCTGTGTGTGAGCGGTTGTGTATCTTTAGGTTCTCCAGCCGGGAGAAACTCTTATGGCAGGTAGGGCAGCAGTGAGGTCTCTCGTTCGTGTGTGTTCTTATATGGATCAGCATCTTGTATCTGCAAATTCATCACAGGGTTATATCATTTCATCTGCTTCCCATAATAAGATGCACTTTTACATACACACCCAAGAAAAAGCTTCACAGTACTCAGTCATCCTGAACATGTACTTCCAAAGCTGAAATGCTATTCGGGTGCTCAGCAAGTGGTGGCATTGTGAACGTCCAGAACTCAAGAAGTCATTAGTCTGGAAATCCCGGAATCCCTTTTACTCCAGTGGATCATATTCAACAAAAAATATCTCTCGAGGTGACTTTTTCATTTCTATTTTCTATTCATTTCTATTTCATTGCAGTCATTCAGTGGAAATGATGAGCATCTTTCTGATATAAAGACAACCACTAGAGGTCTCCATCTATAGAGCTGAATATGTGTCATGGATCAGCACGCGGTCCCCCAAAATTTACAGGCAAGTAAGTACGATCTGGTCATGTACACACAAACTACGTGATTTCCGGGGTACAAAATCCCCCAAAAATGCTGCACGGGGACTTCACTGGAGAACTGTGGTGAATTCCTGTGGAGTGCGGCAATTTTTGGATTGTGTTGCTACAAGTGACGGGGTGCTTATTGCCTGCAGGCTGAGGACCGGTTTGGGAATGTGAGCGGTGTTTGGTGTGGATTTTCAAGGCCACAAAGCTAAGTACACTCAGTCACCCCTAACACTCCACCAATGCTGCCACCACTTACCTACAAAATACCACATGACCCTAACACTTCCTACTCAGTTCTGTTCTCCGGGAGTTAAAGGTTTACCTTACCAGACACTCCAGCAACCCAATATCTAGTAAAGACATAAACCTAAAGCCTTTCTCCCATCAGCAATAACGTTCCAGTACACATGTATCTAGCAAACACATTCTTCAAACTTGTGAGAACCGTAAAGATGAACTCCAGCTCCACAAATGAAGCCCAGCACAATTAACAATACAAAAAGCAGCTTTTCTGCAATATAACCAGTCTACCAGCGTCATTCAACTCTGAGCCCAGGCTGTCATGGACCCGCCCCATAGAGAGAGACGTCATCACACAGTCTGGGCTCGGAGTATTACTACACTGAACGGTGCTCACACATCATTATGTCATCTTTGTTCATTGCAGGAGCAAGGGCTTACCACCGCCACTGCATGTAGAGAAGTGTAAGGACCCATGATGTCACTGGATAGATGGAACAATGCAACATATACAAAAATACAGAAACCTAACACATCGTCAGTAGAATGATTGATGATTGACTTGTGGCCACGGGGGTATGAAGAAACAAGGAATACATTCCCCAACTGTGGTCAGACCGAAAAAATGTCAGCATGAAAAATTATAGGGCTGTTACTGATTAAAATGTTCGTGTTCGATTAATCGAAAAAAATTTTAATCGATTAATTTCGATTAATTATAACGCACATACAGATCCAACTACATTGGCCTATACACATACAGCACAGCAATGAAGTAATAAAATGAACTAGGATCACACTAATCCAGCACGTTATTAATCTTAGGTGCCCCACTCAATATGGCCGCCGCTTGAGTGGGGCAACTCAGAATAATAACGTGCTGGATTAGTGTGATCCTAGTTCATTTTATTACTTCATTGCTGTGTATGTGTATAGGCCAATGCCTTGGCTGGCGCTCGTGCAGAAAGATTTTAAAAAATTGTACTCGATCAAAACATTTTTAATCGATCAAAAAGATTAACAATTAATCGAGAAATGAATCGTTCATTTGCACAGCCCTAAAAAATGATATACAAGTTGGAAAGCATTCAAGTAGCAGGCCCCACCTTCCTCCAATCAGAAATGTTTATGTCATTTAAAGAGCCAATTCAAATATTCAAACATTATAGGCAATAGGAGCATCATGGAAAACATGGCATTGTGTTCCTTCGTTGAGAATTCTTCATGTATAGAAATCCAGCTTCCATAAATCTCCTGACATGTACGGTCACAGGCGATCTCACTCTGTGCTTGTGTTTGGACACTTTTACAGCCCTCATTGTTCAGAATTTCTTGATCCATTTATTGTTTTTTTAAGCCGTGTGACTTCCCTCCCCATTAATAAAAGCAAATGTACAAATCATTTGGTAGGGTCATTGTTATCCTTCTCTTAGCCTGGCAGGCCGAGGCAGTGCCAAGGAAGCTGTTCTGCTCCTATTTGTCCTGATTGCCCCAGGCTTAGTGGGAGGGATGATCATTTCCTTAATAACAAAACTGAATTAAGCTAGTAAGCAAACTGCAGAAACCAATGAGTGTCACCCTCTTCCTGTCTTTATGGCCTCGCATGACAACAAAAAATGCAATCATCAAAGCAAATCACTGACCAGCACCCGTGATTTTGCCTTCCCTGGTTCCTCCTTTCCACCTCATCAACATACTGATCTAAGGCCCTATCGTGTCCGACTGCTAGTCCCAGGACATCTGGTGTGTCACTTCTGTGCTTGTTCACTGTTCTGGAGGCTCTGATCTGAGGCTCTGCCATGATGGCCGCCCCCACACAGGGACACAGTACAAAAAAAAAAGCATGGCAAGTAAATAATGAGGAAAAGATCTGCTAACGAGAGACCACAGGCAATTCTGGGAGATGGTCCTTTGCCGGCTGCTTGTCTATTTTAGGAAGCAGCTTCCATAGTTCCTCTTTCATTCACAATACCAGTTCAGGGACCATTTATGGTCGGCAGGTACAGATGGCTTCCCAAAACTCCAGCGTGTCCCAGTACTTCTGAAAGGCAGCATTCTGGTACTGGGGATATCTCATGACAAAGTGCCTGGAGCTTTGGTGACTTTTAGGCAGTTGGAAATCACATAGGAAAAACAGGGGCTCCCAAGGGCCACTAGACAGATGTTTGGAGATGCTGGCTGTTCCGGTTCTCTGTGTAAAGTTCATTTATACACCTAAGGCCTCATTCACACGAGAAAAGGCCGGCACGTACATCTCCGTGCTGCGTGCAGGGCCGTATCGGGCAGCTCCCGGGAAGGACAGATGCTGCGTGTGATTTGTACGCAGCCACTGTCCTTCTCTATGGGAGTACGCGCCCATACGCCGCCCTAAGCTCACCCCAAGTGCAGGTCTGTACGGGTGCGGGTGTCCCGGCTTGGACGCAGACAGGATCTATCCTGTCAGGGTACGAGTATGGACACCCGCACGGACGTGCAGGGCGGGTGAGCGTAAGGTGGCGTACGGCCGCGTACTCCCATAGAGAAGGACGGGGGCTGCGTACTAATCACATGCAGCACCTGTCCTTCCCGGGAGCTGCCTGATAAGGCCGCGCATGGAGCTGTACGTACCGGCTTTTTCTCGTGTGAATGGGGCCTAAAACTAAATTTAGTTAAAGCGTACCGCTAACAAAATTGTATTTTTTAGTTTTGGATATGGTTAGGACCCTGTCCAGGTTTAATTTCGGTGTCCTTGCGAAGGAGAGTCACCCTCTTTATTTGCCCCGTTGACCATTGAATCCAGGTTAAAAAGTAATAGGGAATCCAAAGTTTTACAGTTGTCACCAGAACAACAATAGAGGGGACATTTGAATGGAATTCCCTTTTATTTACCCATCATGCAGTTCTTACAGAGTTATAGGCACATCATGCAGTGATATAGGCACAATTATATCCATAATGACCAAAATGGCCGTTCTCGTCAGCAGATTGAGGCTATTTTGGGGCATGTCAGATACAAAAATATGGAAACTATTATCCAAGATCCGTTGGCCCTCAGAGGATTTTAATGTAATAGTATCTCAGACTACGGAATGAAAAGCATTTATAACGCTCCCTTCCGAGCAAGAACTCCATCTAGCATACTGCATTTCTGCATCGCCATCACCTCATCAGCCATTTTGACATTCATTCTTTGCTCACTGGGCATCCCAGTATAATCATTCCCTCTCACCTGGCATTGAATCCTCTCCCGCGACGGGCACAGCCCTCCCAGTGGCAGCAGTATCCGGCATCCTTTTCTGGCTTCACGTGGAAATCATTAACATGATCCACTAATTCTTGCAGAAGCTCAAACAGGCGGTTGCACTGCAAGGTCAGAAAGGTCAAAGGTGAGCCGAGCCAAGGAATGCAGCACTCAGAGAGAGCAGCAGACAAGGAGAGCAGTATGGAGACAATTTGATAAAAACAGGAGCAGAGAATGGAATGTGAGACAGAGAACAGGCAGGTGGACATCTAAAGAGAGCTTGTGTGAGGCCCACAGGGGGTGACCCTTACCTTTGCCCACTGACACACCAGTTGTTTCTGTTCTGTGTATTCAAGGGATAGCCGCTTCTCCTTGGGGGGAGTGAGGAACACCGATGGGGGTAGCTGGAGCCCGGAACTGAGAGGCAGGAAGAATTGGAAGGGACTGGGAGTCATGTCACCCCTGCCGCGCAATGATGCCATGTCCTGAGGGGTAGAGGAGAGGTCAGAGCAGGAAGAGAAGGGTTGATGGTTTGGAAAGACAATGGCAGAGATCTTCAATTATATCACATAGAAGGAACAAAGTCAGCCAAGCCGCTTTTCACACTGCATGGCCTTTTTTTTTTTACATACACAGCAATTTGAGAATCGGCCGCTGTGCCAGAAGACTCAGGGAACTGTGACAGTCATGAGATGTAATCTGGGACAGCTCCAGATCCTCATGTCCTTGAAGTGGAGACATCACTTTATATGACTGAACAATGTCCGCACAGATTCCTTTAGCTGTGGCATGAGGCCCGCCCTATACAACCCCTTCATTCAACATCCGAGGAAGCAGGCCCCCCTATGTTATATAGTCTTCTGTATATGTGAAGTAGATTGTACAATCAGATTGTTACACGTGTGACTCATTTAAAGTGCATGTCCAACCAAATGTCTTTTATTAGTTTTGGATAGAGTAGGGAACGATTAGAAGAACCCCTGTGAAGTTCCTCTGCTCTTCTACTGCTCTTCTTCTATTTTCTCTGAATTTTGATCAGTGGGTGACCCTGTCGGCAGCTATTTGCCTGGCGTCCTTCCATCGGAAAATCGAAGGAGTCGGCTGTAAAATTTCTGGGTGAACAGTGAAGGCAGCCAATCAGCTGCCGTCCCTATTAGCGTATTCTGACAGCAGCACAACCGATGCTGTCAGAATACAATAGCCCAGCAGGAGATTCAGGGAGATAGTTAAAGGAAAACTAAGGAGTTAAAGGAGAAAAACACTCACCTCATAGTTCTAGCCGACCTGTGACAACATGGCTGCCCCATTGGCCCAAGGCTGGGGAGGGGGGTCCACTGAGATCCTGTCCCGGTGGGGGTGCATGGCGCTTTATATTTTTAAATATATCCGGCTGCCGTGAGGTCCCGCGCTTGCTGGGTACCTCACGGCAGCCTTCTAGGGAAACACTCCTCCACTGGCCCTCACTGATAGTCAAGCAGTCCTCACAACTCTTCACCAGCCCCCGCAGCTCGTCCACCGGTTAGCACAGCTCCTCCACTGGCCCCTGCAGCTCGTCCCACTGGCCCCCCACAGCTCGTCCACCGGCCCTTGCATCTTACATCGCTTCCTCCACCTGCACATCTTCCTTTGCCACCTTGGTGAGACCCTCGGCATTCACACCTGCTGCCCTGTAGACACCCTGCACATCTGGCCCTGCCGACCTGGTGAGACCCTGCGCATCTGCCCCTTCCAACCTGGTGAGACCCTGCACATCTGGCCCTGCTGACCTGGTGATACCCTGCGCATCTGCCCTGCCGACCTGGTGAGACCCTGCACATCTGGCCCTGCCGACCTGGTGAGACCCTGCGCATCTGCCCTGCCGACCTGGTGAGACCCTGCACATCTGGCCCTGCCGACCTGGTGAGACCCTGCGCATCTGCCCTGCCGACCTGGTGAGACCCTGCACATCTGGCCCTGCCGACCTGGTGAGACCCTGCGCATCTGCCCTGCCGACCTGGTGAGACCCTGCACATCTGGCCCTGCCGACCTGGTGAGACCCTGCGCATCTGCCCTGCCGACCTGGTGAGACCCTGCACATCTGGCCCTGCCGACCTGGTGAGACCCTGCGCATCTGCCCTGCCGACCTGGTGAGACCCTGCACATCTGGCCCTGCCGACCTGGTGAGACCCTGCGCATCTGCCCTGCCGACCTGGTGAGACCCTGCACATCTGGCCCTGCCGACCTGGTGAGACCCTGCGCATCTGCCCTGCCGACCTGGTGAGACCCTGCACATCTGGCCCTGCCGACCTGGTGAGACCCTGCGCATCTGCCCTGCCGACCTGGTGAGACCCTGCACATCTGGCCCTGCCGACCTGGTGAGACCCTGCGCATCTGCCCTGCCGACCTGGTGAGACCCTGCACATCTGGCCCTGCCGACCTGGTGAGACCCTGCGCATCTGCCCTGCCGACCTGGTGAGACCCTGCACATCTGGCCCTGCCGACCTGGTGAGACCCTGCGCATCTGCCCTGCCGACCTGGTGAGACCCTGCACATCTGGCCCTGCCGACCTGGTGAGACCCTGCGCATCTGCCCTGCCGACCTGGTGAGACCCTGCACATCTGGCCCTGCCGACCTGGTGAGACCCTGCGCATCTGCCCTGCCGACCTGGTGAGACCCTGCACATCTGGCCCTGCCGACCTGGTGAGACCCTGCGCATCTGCCCTGCCGACCTGGTGAGACCCTGCACATCTGGCCCTGCCGACCTGGTGAGACCCTGCGCATCTGCCCTGCCGACCTGGTGAGACCCTGCACATCTGGCCCTGCCGACCTGGTGAGACCCTGCGCATCTGCCCTGCCGACCTGGTGAGACCCTGCACATCTGGCCCTGCCGACCTGGTGAGACCCTGCGCATCTGCCCTGCCGACCTGGTGAGACCCTGCACATCTGGCCCTGCCGACCTGGTGAGACCCTGCGCATCTGCCCTGCCGACCTGGTGAGACCCTGCACATCTGGCCCTGCCGACCTGGTGAGACCCTGCGCATCTGCCCCTGCCGACCTGGTGAGACCCTGCGCATCTGGCCCTGCTGACCTGGTGATACCCTGCGCATCTGGCCCTGCCGACTTGGTGATACCCTGTGCATCTGCCCCTGCCAACCTGGTGAGACCCTGCACATCTGGCAATGCCGACCTTGTGAGACCCTGCTCATCAGCCTCTGCCGACCTGGTGAGACCCTGCGCATCTGCCCTGCCGACCTGGTGAGACCCTGCACATCTGGCCCTGCCGACTTGGTGATACCCTGTGCATCTGCCCCTGCCAACCTGGTGAGACCCTGCACATCTGGCAATGCCGACCTGGTGATACCCTGTGCATCTGCCCCTGCCGACCTGGTGAGACCCTGCGCATCTGCCCCTGCCGACCTGGTGAGACCCTGCGCATCTGCCCCTGCCGACCTGGTGAGACCCTGCACATCTGGCCCTTTACATATTATTCCTGTTGAATCGGCCAAAATTCAAGCCATGGGTGGCCCTGTCTGCACCACGCCCTGGTCCACAAAAATCCATTGAAAAATAAAAGGACCTGGGTGGAAAATTGTCTGCCTCACATCTCAATGTGTCAAAATACAACAGCCTGCAGGATAGATTCCTCCATTCATGCTGTTTAGGGGGAATCGAAATAATTTTCTTGTCCAGCCCATGGGTCTAAATGAGAGAAACTAAGCTGTGTTCAGTTAGCTTTACACTGTACAATCACCTTTAAGTTTATTGACAACTATGTAGATTGTAAGGAGTGTGGCCTGTCTAGACATTGAACGCAAACCTTTCAATCTCCTGTTTTTACCAATGATGATTGTAAAATAATTTATTTGACCATTAATCATAACTGACCTCAGAGGTATAGAAATTCAATGTAATAACAACCATGGAAGATATTACAGAGTAGGTCTACCTTCATAGTGGATGAACAATGGCGTAGTGGGAATACAGAAGGTTTTCCCTATAGGACCGAGCAATGTAATACACCACAGATATGAGACAAGAGACTCACCAGTAGGGTATCCCCTACTGTCATCCTCTCCGGGGACAAGGATGCACGGCTGGGGGAGTCCATCCCAGAAGGTGGGGAGAGGCTGAGGTCTACCACTGGTGGAGAAGAAAAAGGGGAGCTGTCACCTTCCCGAAAACGAGGCAGGTACCCTGGGAAAATGGAAGCAGGTAGGCACATGTCAGTGTTGTGTGACAACATCAGGGCTCCTGAGAGCAAAAGTTAGCCTGCAGGGGATATAGAGAGCGGCAGGACTAAAAGGGTTAAGGAGCCCAAACATAATTCCTCCCGTCCCACATGTATCTGTGTTCATAATACATTCTTATCACATAAGGGGAGCAGCATTTCCCTTTTCTTTCATATCACATCCTACATTCTCCATTCAGATATCCACCACTTACAGCACCAGTGATCTTTAAATAAAACTTTCCTGTATGTCTGGACAAACAAAAACGTAATAACACATAATCTGCACATCTCTGCATTACATGGACGCTTCTCCATGTGTTATCACTTAATAAATGCAACAAGTATAGAAAGTGATCTGCCAGCAATCCAGCGTGCTCCTAACTTCCTGTTTGACCTGACAACACTGCCTCTGCTGCGCTGCAATACAAAGCAGTGTTGTCAACCCTGCCTGCATTCTCTCATCTTGAACTACAGAACACCTCCTCCTGTACTAATCTCCATAACAGAAGGAGAACAGGTGGTGAAGGAGGAAGAACTGGGCAGGGCTGATAACACAGCTTGAGATTTCAGTGCAGAAGATGCACTGTGTTGTCAGCTTTCTGCAGGAAGTTAGATAATATAAAAAGGAAAAGGAGTAGGGATATAGTGGGATCACCTACTAAGGGTAAGGATATAGTGGGATCACCTGATAGGGGTAAGGATATACTGGGATCACCTGATAGGGGTAAGGATATAGTGGGATCACCTGCTAGGGGTAAGGATATACTGGGATCACCTGATAGGGGTAAGGATATAGTGGATCACCTGCTAGGGGTAAGGATATACTGGGATAACCTGCTAGGGGTAAGGATATACTGGGATCACTTGCTAGGGGTGAGGATATAGTGGATCACCTGCTAGGGGTAAGGATATACTGGGATAACCTGCTAGGGGTAAGGATATAGTGGGATCACCTGATAGGGGTAAGGATATAGTGGGATCACCTGCTAGGGGGGAGGATATACTGGGATCACCTGCTAGGGGTAAGGATATACTGGGATCACCTGATAGGGGTAAGGATATAGTGGGATCACTTGCTAGGGGTAAGGATATACTGGGATCACCTGCTAGGGGTAAGGATATAGTGGGATCACCTGATAGGGGTAAGGATATAGTGGATCACCTGCCAGGGGTAAGGATATACTGGGATCACCTGCTAGGGGTAAGGCTATAGTGGGATCACCTGCTAGGGGTAAGGATATAGTGGGATCACCTGCTAGGGGGGAGGATATACTGGGATCACCTGCTAGGGGTAAGGATATAGTGGGATCACCTGCTAGGGGTAAGGATATAGTGGGATCACCTGCTAGGGGTAAGGATATAGTGGATCACCTGCCAGGGGTAAGGATATAGTGGGATCACCTGATAGGGGTAAGGATATAGTGGGATCACCTGCTAGGGGTAAGCATATACTGGGGTCACCTGATAGGGGTAAGGATATAGTGGGATCACCTGCTAGGGGTAAGGATATAGTGGATCATCTGCTAGGGGTTAGGATATAGTGGATCACCTGATAGGGGTAAGGATATAGTGGATCACCTGCTAGGGGTAAGCATATAGTGGGATCACCTGATAGGGATAAGGATATAGTGGGATCACCTGATAAGGGTAAGGATATAACAGGTTCACCTGGTAGGGATAAGGATATAGTGGGATCACCTGGTAGGGATAAGGATATAGGGACCATCTATGAGGATAAAGGGGCACCATTTGTTGGGGTGAGAATATAGACAAATTATCTGGCCGGGGTAAAGATAAAAGGGAATCACCTGGTGGAGGTGAGGAGCAGATGGGAGTAACAACAGTTGTTCCATCATCCCGTATCATCAGCTCATGGTGCACAGTGCGTTTCTTGGGGCTCCCTCCGCTCCGATCTCGCTTCTCTCGTGCTGCCCGCAGCTTAGATATACTGAGCTTCAGATCCAGGGGCTCGTCAAGTGAGTGCATGGTCACCAGCTACACCCAGAGCACCCCCAGCCGTCCTGGGAGAGAAGACGGGAAATTAAAAAGAGCCTAGACATCTTTACTCACATCAGACATCTGCAGAGCATTGCATCATTAACCTATTCCTTTCCACACATCTACAGTGCATCTCTCCCTGCGGTATCAAGAACAGCCGGCCTTCAGGGGAAGCAAAGGGTTAAAGATCCTTGTGTGGATCTGTCAGGGAAAGGGTGCTACCAAATGCCACGTGTGGTTTTCTGATGGATAAGGGGGAGCCTAACATCCCCCATTTTTTTGAGATGTGAGATGCCCCCCCTTACCTAAGGGAATCTGGAAGAGGGAGGGTCACCCAGTTAGTGCCATGTGGGGATAAAGGCGTGCCCCCCCCCCTCTTTGCGCCACCCCCATCCTGGGCATAGAGCCAGCCACGGCCAGACACTGAGGAATGTTAGAAGGCCTGGGAGCCCTGCAGAGTGGAGAGAGAAAAACGGGAGGGTGGAGAGACATGCTGGAGGGGAGGGTGAGAGAGGACACAGAATGGAATGGGGGAAGGACACTGGAGGGGGAGACTTACAAAGAGACCCAGAGGAGAAACAGTGGAAGGAGAGGAAAGGAGGGAAGAGGAAGGAGAGAAAGAGATGGCAACCCATGCAGGCGCTAATTAGGTGGCAGGTTGCCGGAGGACGGGGTAAGCACATGGGTATAAAAAGAAAACATAATTACATATTAAAACAAAATAATAACCCAAAAATAATATAAAAAGAAACAAAAAAACCCGAATGTAACAATTCTGTATGAAGGACAGCACTGGAAACCAGTATGAGCTTTGAAAATGAGGAATTGCCAAACATAACCAGTTGTCGCCTCTTCTCCCAGCAAAAGCAGAACAATGCAGCCCAAAAATCTGGTGCCCAGAACATTTTGTGTCCGTGCCGCCCCCTCCACCACATCATGGCACAGCTCACAGTCAGCAGAATAGGGATCATACTGGTACACTGGGAGGAAGGTTTGTCCTTTTACCATGGATGTGACCCCAAGCAGCAATCACACTGCATATTCAGATCCCTGTGTCTATGGAGGGAACACACTGGGAGGATGGTTGTCACAGAAAGTTGCCGTATCTGTACTACAAATACAATAGGGGTAGAATATGTAACCATGTGATATACAAAAGAGACCAGAGATATTATTCTTATAAGTGTAACAAAACCTAAAAATAAAAATATATCAAATGGTATGTTATGGGCAGCACAGCACTGGGGGTCCCCCTGTTCAAATCCCGGTCAGGACACTATCTGCATGGAGTTTGCATGTTCTCCCAGTGCTTGTGTGGGTTTCCCCCCACACTCCAAAGACATGATGGAAGGTTAGCTGGCTTCTGTCTAAATCCACCCTGTATATACTGTATGTGAGATAGGGACCTCAGATTGTCAGCTCCTCGAGGACCGGGACTGATGTAAAGCGCTGCGTACATTGTCAGCACTATATAAATACCTGTAATAAATAAATAAACGGTAGCTTCCCCTTTACCTCCACCAGCGGTGTCATTATTTCCATCTTGTTGTCTTCAATTGTTTTTATTTTTACCTTTTTCTTTGTGTGTGCATTCTTTCAGTGCATGCAAAAGTGAACAAAAAAAAGTGCACGTGAAACACACTCAAAAAAGTGCACAAGGGCGAGTCAGAATGGTCCATCTCCCGAAGAGGTAGGGTTCTTTCCCGTACCCCCCGGGGAGCAAAGTTCCTGACAGGGGCACGGCACTCGGGTCCACTTGGCCGAAACCAGGCGGACCTATTCCTCAAGGTCAGCCAAAACCAACCATCGAGTACTGGGTTGGGGAGCTCTCCAGAAGAGATAGGGTTCTTTCCCTTACCCCCCGGGGAGCAAAGCTCCTGACAGGGGCACGGCACTCGGGTCCACTTGGCCGAAACCAGGCGGACCTATTCCTCAAGGTCAGCCGAAGCCGACCATCGAGTACTGCGTTGGGGGGCTCTCCCAAAGAGATAGGGTTCTTTCCCTGACCCCCCGGGGCTCAAATCTCCTGACAGGGGCAAGGCACTGGGGTCCACCTGGCTGAAACCAGGTGTACCCATTCCTCAAGGTCAGCCAAAGCCAATCATCGAGTACTAGGTTGGGGGCTCTCCCGAAGAGAGACCCCCAATTCAGGGGAGGAAGGAACCTAATGACCACACATTCTCCCCCTAGACTTCAGGGTAGGCCCGCAGATCTGCACCCTCCATCCTGTGGGGTGAAAAGTAACACTCATATAAAAGTGAAGTGTGCACACAGTGAAGACAAATAAATAATTGCCAATGTGTGATACAATGGCTAGGCCTTGCGGCCCGGTATAAAGATTACCCCTGGTCTTAGCCAAAAGGCCTAGCCCAAGAGGCGAGGTGCAGAACAAAAGCAAGAGGTGCCATGACCAATGTGCCATTCTCACTAGTGGTGTCCCAAACCCATAAGTGGTACTCAGGCACCCCCAGGTCACCATTCCTAAGGGGTACTTGGCACTGCAAGCTCTCTGCCTTCCCAGCCCATGGCCAGACCAGGTAGTCACATTTTTACCTGGTGATCCTGCCAGTTCTTCAACTTCCTGTCCTAGGGTGACAACACGCCCTAGGATCCATATTCCCGGGACTCTAAGCTGACTTGCTGATACACAGCACACCAGCACTAACAGCTTGGATCCCACAGGGAATGCAAGGCATTATGGGATGTTCACGCCATCAAAACATGATATGCACTCAGAGCGTGTCGGACAGACTGACACCCACCTATTACGGCATTTTGATTTTTGCATAACCCTTCCCATGAGCCAGGCCAACGCTTGCATCCGGGCTGAGGGCTCCTGAGAGGAGTTCTGATGCAGGGTGCTGTGATGTATTCAGTAAGTGCCTCTCCCACCAGTCCGTCATTGCACAGAGATCCAGTGATGACATCACCGGGACTAAAATAAGGTATGAAATAGAACAGGAAAAGCTTTATTTAAAAATGTAATTAGCATGTTGATTGGGGGG